AGAGAGAGAGAGAGAGAGAGAGAGAGAGAGAGAGAGAGAGAGAGAGAGAGAGAGAGAGAGAGAGTGCTATGGAACTGTCATTCCTGAGGAGATGTGACCTCCACACATTCTGCAAGGGAAATGCCACTCCGTACAGAGAAGTGCACAAATAAAAAATCACATATCGCACTGTATGCAGATATACACAAATCACAGATCACACTATACGGAGATGTACTGAAGTCAATAATCACAAATCATTTGAAATCACGCTATGGAAATGTACATCCACACAAATCGCAGATGACTCTTATTCCATTTGAAATCACACTACAGACACCTGAATGGTTTTGAAAAGGCAGCCCACACCCGAACGCGTCTCGAGGGGGTGCCGAACGTTTGGGCGTTCGAGTTTTGGGCGTTCGGCCCGTCCCGAACGCCGGCAACCCTGTATATAATATATATATATTAATTATTATATATATATACACGGGGCAGAAAATCACGGAAGTTGGGTACTCTTTTTTTTCCGTTGGCCCACACGTTGTAGAGTGGCAAAAATGGTAAATCCGACAAACTAGCGCGGCATTTATTTCATGGTCTTTGTTTTCATCTTCATTTTTCTGATATTTTTCCTGAAAAGATCACGGCCTACCATACAGGATCTCAATTTTTCAGCATTTTGGGGTACTTTTCCCGATGGCCTACACATTGCAGAGGGTCCCATCGACATTCTTCACCACAGGGCAAATGGTCCCTGGCCACTCTGGCAGCCTAGCACGGCATTTCGTTCACGTTTTTTTTTTTTTTTCTGATATATTTCCTGGTAAGATCATATGGCCTAATATACAGGATCTCAAATTTTCAGACTTTTTTGACAATTCTTCTGTGCGCAAAAAATCACAAAATTTGGTGCTCGAAAATTGCCAGACCGGACAGATGGGAGTTGGGGTTTAAAAGCCGTCTTCTCCACAGCTTAGGGAAAGGTTAAAAAAAAAAAAAAGACCAGCCGAACTGCTGTTTCTACACACAACGTGAAATGGTCGTTAGCAAAGAAACAAAACTACAGAAATGTTCAATATTGAATTTTCCTTCCTGATCTATTCTCCACACAGGCAGCTGATTGTCCATATCCCAGACCCCCCACACCCTTGGAAAAGTGGGTGGGGGGAAGAGTGGAAGGGATGGTGGGTCGAAATGGAGGGGAGAATGGGGAGGGGAAGTTGGCAAAGGAGAGACGTGAGAGAGTCCAGAATGGATATAAAGATAATATAAACATATAAACCCGCACACAGACTCCATTTGTGCGTTACCAGCCTCGACAAATCCAGAGCACACACCGCCACTGCAGCGCACCTCAAGGGACGACGTGCAGACCAAAAAAAAAAAAAAAAAAAAAAAAAGACTGGGAGCAAGACAAACAGCAGGCAGAGTCCATTTGTGCGTCGCAGAGTGTTCCACCAATTTACAGAGAATTTCATTATTGGTATATTTATGAGACCTATACAAACAAAAAGAGAAGCTACAAGGGACGATGCAACGACACAAAAGGCCCAAAAAAAAAAAAAAAAAAAAAAAAAACCTGGGAGCAAAACAAACAGCACACAGACTCCACTTGWRMAWWACCARCCWCRAMAMATCCASAGSRCAMAACCCCAACCCCCCCCCCCAAAAAAAAAAAAAAAAAAAAAAAAAAAAAAAAAAAAAACACTGAAGGGACGACGTGAAGACCCAACCCCCCCCCAACAAAAAAAAAACAAAAAACAAAAAAAAAAAACACTGGGAGCAAAACAAACATCGCAACGAGTGAGAATGACTAATCGTCGGAAAACCCAAAACACACACACACACACAAAGAGCATCATCGAAGAAAACTTTCAGAGTGTATCAGTGAGGCTCGACACCCAGCAACTGAGTTGTGTTCAGGATCCTGCGACATTTTGCGCAGCGCATCTCACTTTTTCGCAAAACCCAAATGAGACGGAAAGCGGCAAACTTTTTTTTTTTTTTTTTTTTTCACTACAGATACACATGCATCATTCCTCTCACCAAATGTTAGCTTCATAGCAGCAGAAAAAAAGAAGCTACATCATCATACAGCCACCAACCTCCTCGTAGGTGGCACAATGCCAAAGCTCTTCCACCAGGCTTATCTACTTGGCGCACATAGACACTGTCTTGTGAGCACACAGCACATCAGAGGACTGCAGAACATGCATGGAACCACCTCCTTTTATGCTTTCCCTAACTACCGCGTGCTCAAAAAAAAAAAAAAAAAAAAAAAAGCAGCGAACTACACACGACGAAAAATGTCACAAAGGATATCATCACAGAAAAGAACTGCTGTAAAGAGGACGGTTTTCATCACTCTGGACTCTCGAGTCTTGTACAGAGCCCTCATAATTGTGGGACAGGACTGGAGTATTCTGCTAGGTGTAGGAGAAAAATGAGGTTATAGGGCTAAAAGCCTTATAGGGCTAAAAGAGTCCAACGACTCTTTAAGACTCATCTGACACAAAGAGCACAAGTACAGAAGCACCGCAATCTATTTGAAACTGAGAAAACATACAAATATTATTTTACAATGGAGAAATTAGGAGATGCCGAATGCAAAGGCATCTCCAGGGGGCCAAAAAAAAAAGATAGGGTGTCTCCAAACAGATCACAGGAACGCTCTGAAGTCTAAGTAAAAGAAGACCACGAGGGGCGCCACGTGATTCACGACAGTGTGGCACTGAAATACCGCACATCATACGGAATCATCACATTCGCGGATGGCAGACTGACACCGACAGAGAGACAGACAGACAGAGACAGACAGACGTCATGCGATGACAATGTGGTGCAAGCATGGCAAAAGCGCACAGGCACATGACATTCGCATTCGCGAATGGCACAAAGACACAGACAGAGAGACAGACAGACAGACAGACAGACAGACAGACAGACGGACAGACGGACAGACGGACAGACGGACAGAGACAGGGACAGACAGAAAGACATGTCATGGCAAAGTGCACAGGCACATGGCATTTACATTCGCAAACGGCACAGAGACACAGACAGACAGACAGGCAGGCAGGCAGGCAGGCAGGCCGGCCGGGAGAGGAGCGTGTGATGCCCGTGTGGAACTGGCATGGCGTACTGCACAGGCGCATGACATTCACAGATGAAACATAGACATGGACATGGACGGACAGGCGGGCGCTGGCTTGCCGTATGACACACACTGATTGACCGACCGACTGGCCGACCGACTGACCGACAGACAGGCAGACAGACGCACAAATAGAATGACGGACTTTCAGTCTCCTGGCATGGCACATCGCACACAGTCACATGATATCCGATGACCGACAGACAAAGGCAGAAGGACAGGGAGACAGGGACACAGAGAGACAGATAGACTGACAGGCCGCCCAACTGACCGCATGATTTCTATCGAAGAAAAAAGCAACCTCAGGCACACGAGGGGTTGGCGCGGGGCGAATAGTGGGGGGATGATTGAGTGCCTGCCACTGGGCTCTTGCTTCTGATTAAAGGGGAGAGGTGCTTTCCTTAACAGCATCCAAAAATCAACACCTTTTGCGTCGGGACGACAAAGGAGTACACTACTCTACACACTACATACTACACAGCCAAACCGACCGTCCTTCATGTCAACGCTAAACTGGACATTGGACTCATTGTGGACTCAATTTTTATGTCTATAGAGTAGTATAGACTACGTCTTTTCCCGAATTCTTTCTCCTTCAGTCCATTGCATGGAGACAGGAAAAAAAACTACCCTGAAGGGCCTGAACAAATAGTTGCAAACGTCGTCACTGTTGCGTCAACGAGTAGAGCCTCTGCGATGCGACCACCCTGGGACAGAGAAGCGTGCCCCTGGAAGCGAGTAACTCCTCAGGGGCAGGGCGACTACCGCATCGACTAATAGTCTTCACCCTTGCAAAGAAAATTCCTCAAGGGTGTGGCGAATATTGCCCTAACGACTAAAAGTCCTCGCCCCTTGAAAGAACCTCTTTGCGCGTAGGTCGCATGAAAATTGTGTGCTCGAACTGCGCCACATAAGATCCCTTGGAGTCACACAATGGAGGATATGGCTGCAGACAACAAGCAACAGACGGACAGACAGACAGACAGACAGTGATGCAAACGGAGTGACAATGTGAAACGGTTAGCAGCAAAAACACACTCGACAACCACCGACAAAACATAAGTCCGTGCAATTGAGGACCTTCCTTTCAACATCTTGGCGGACCGGCGAGTGGTGCATGCAACTAGGCCCCCCTTAGTATGCGATAACTAGGCCCCCCTTAGTATGCGACGATTCACGACCACATATAGAGTGATCATTTTAAGCCCATTTGAACTCCCCCCACCCCACCCCTTGGAGAGAACATGATAGGTTGGGGCCCCGAGCGAAACAGAAGGAGACAGGAAGAAGAACAACGATCGCCCCTTTTCCCTGCAGTTTTGCGTTAAGATATGATGATGATGATGATGACAATGATGATGCGTCGTGAACCTCCATGACCAAATACAACGTACGATGGTGGCATTCTAAGATATATTGTACTCTGTTTATTTTCACAAACATTCATAACATATTATGACTGACAGACAGACAGAAAGACAGACGGACACAAAACGAGTACCTGATGGTGATCGATGACGACTGATGACAGTGATGATCAAGGAGGGTGAAGATGTGTGATGGTGGCGATGGTCGATGACGATGATGATGATCACGGTTGACGACGATGATGATGAGCGACTACTGACAGCTAGGGTACCGTCTTCACCGGAATAGAACGCCCAGTCATTATATCCGTATTTGGTGCAACTGCAGACCATGTACAGCGATAATGACAGGGCGTTCTATTCAGGTAAAGACGGTATAGATGACAATGTAACAAAGAAGACGAAGAGGAGAGCAGAGAGACAGCCGATTAGGAATGACAGGAGGAGGTGAGGGAGAAAGAGGAGGACAGTACCTGCACAATTCCGACGTCGCAAAGGTTCTTCAGAGCCATCAGGTACTTCGTCTCGCCTAGACGGTCGAGATACCGTCTACAAAACGCCAGTGTGCCAAAATTTCTGTCGATCGTAGCCAGAAGCTGCTTTGCTTTCGCCAGCCTGTCACCCACGAACAGATAAATAGAGCCTCAATTAATTAAAGTTATTAAAGTTAATTAAACAGGAAAAAAAACTACCCAGTAGTCGTACACAATGCAACCACCATCGAAAAAGTCTAAAGATAAAAACAAAAAGCGAGACAAACACAAGAGGGAAAGAAAGAAGTTGGCTGCCAAGAGGCCAACTAGGGGAAAATGAAATGAATGTCACATCCGTAAGCGCCACCCAGTCGCTTGCATTCGCTTATCGTCAATCAAAGCCCAGCTATTGTGTTCCGATGCAGCAGTACGCAGGCTGCAACTCCCGATGCTCGAGCTACCGGGGATCTGTTTGGCTGGGGGTGCCACAGGCAAGACGAAAATTTTGGCCACACAGGGAGGTATCCGAGAGAGAGGATATGACATCAGGCAGAGAGATGCTTACCCTCTGAGCGTCAGGCACTGGATTCTACACGCAACAGTGGACTTGGTGGGTGAAAGAGGGAGAGATTATTTGAGGTGAGTGGAGTTCATTCCTCTCCTCCCCTCTTCTCCTTGTTCCGCCTTCCCAATCAACAGCCCATAATCTTCTCTCCTCTTCTCTTCATTCGGTCTCCTCAGCCGAGAGCAATGTACTGCGTTCGTCTTCTCTACATTCTTCCTCCCGTCACAAGATTGCCGTCCGGCACAGGAATTTCTCGATTAATGATACTGCAACCTCAACTTCGAGCAGATGTTTCTCTACACCTCTCTCTCTCTCTCTCTCTCTCTCTCTCTCTCTCTCTGGCCCAAGGGTAATGGAACCAAGGTAGGAATGTGAGTAGGATGGCAGGCTCCCCTACCTGAGAGGGACATGGCCGACGTCGAAGTTCTTCATGTAATGACTACACTCTAAATCCTCTCTGACATAACCTTTCCCTGCACAGGTCCGACAAACCAACACGAGAGTCAGAAACCAGAAAAAAAAAAAAAAAAGAGCGCAAACAAAGAAACAAACTGCAACCTCCAGCGACCCGAATAAAACGTACAGTCATTATGGCTGTATTTGGAGCAACTTCGGGTCTAGATAGAGCAATCTTGACTCTACGTTCTATTCGGGTGAAGACGGTAGCAACCCACGAGGAGACTTGGGCAACAGGTGAAGCGCATAGAGACCGATACCACCTCCCATGCCAGAGAATAGATCATCATATAGCCAGCGTGCTATGGTCTAAATGAAACACCCAAACAGAATGCCAGGTCAGTAGAGCTATATCTGGGGCAACCTTTCAGTCTAGCTGCACAGCTATAAAGAACGACGAGAACGAGGATTGTACTCGGGTGACGACGGTTGTATACACCAAGGCAGCAACTCTAACAGGCTGAACAACAGCAGTCTCCATCCCACCCAAGAAGAGATCTTGTCCGCGGAGATCCACTTGCCTAAGTCCAACAGATCAATCTGACGGCCCACAGATGCTTAAAAAAAAGATCCCGCAGGCATATTAGTCTGAAACAGAACGGGGAAAGTTCCGGGAAACTTTCTTGGGACTCTCACAACAGTCATCCAGTAGTCTGAAACAGAAAGGGGAAAGTTCCGGGAAGTTTCTTGGAACTCTCACAACAGTCATAAAGAGCACACAGAGGGTGTGATTAAATGCAGCAGGTTCTTGCAAGGGTAATGATTCTATTGAAGTATACAAGTCTCTCTATAGACATGGGGCTACACTCTCCAAATGTGCACATCGAGTCCGCATCGAGTCCGCATCGAGTCCGCATCCTCCGCTAGAACATTGAAAGGAATTCATTCAAAGAATCCAAAAAGGTTCACCAACATATTTTGTCTTTTGTGCATGTAGAGAGCAAGGCCCATAGCATACATATACAACAAACAGTCTGTCACAGGCTCACAGCCCCCCTCATTTCTTGTCCGCTTTCTCCCCCTCTCTCTGTCGGTCTACACTATACAAATCCGCCCTCTCTGTCTACGGTGGTCTAAGGATTCCCAAGGAAGTTT